TATATATATATATATATATATATATATGTATATATGGATACCCATATACATTTTGTTATATATATATATATACATACGCATACATACATACATACATACATACATACATACATACATACATATATACATATAAATACATATATATACATCATGTATGCATTTATCAATATTATATAATAATTTTGGACCCCGATTTAAGTAACGAAACGCGGCGTGCAGCCCCGTAGACTTCGGATACGCCAGGCTATTGAGGGTAAAGGACAACAGGTCAGATTCGGTGAATAAGCTGACCTTTAAGGGACTTATATTTGGATTTTTTCTTTTTTTTTTCTTCTTTTTAGGTGGCTGTAAAACAATGTATATATTTTCGTAATCGTTTCGAAACTGATTTGTCGACAATATCACGTTGCGTTACGATTTGTTGATGTAAAAACTGTCGTCTTTATTTTTTTCTTTGTAATATTTTGGAAAGGGTAATGTAGCTGTTGCAAATTGTTATTTTTTCTATAAACTTATACATTCTCTTTCTTGCCATTATTGTGTTTTTTGTTCACACGTCTTTTGCTTCATTTTGTTCTTTTTTCTGTGTGTATCATTCTTTAATGTTGCCAAAAGCTATAACGACTTCAGGTGTGACCCCATTTCTAGATTCACCATTATATAAGAGTGTACTAGTACCACACACGCCCATTACATACGCCCGCCCTTTCCCGTTTCTCTTCTCTCTCTCTCTCTCTCTCTCTCTCTCTCTCCTCTCTCTCTCTCTCTCTCTCTCTCTCTCTCTCTCTCTCTCTCTCTCTCTCTCTCTCTCTCTTTCTTTCTTTCTTTTTTTTCTTTCTTTCTTCCTTTTTTCTCCTTCAATTACCGCACAACGTCCTCGCCCACCCTATCCCCCGCCCTGTTAATACATTAACTCTACTTACCCTTACCCTTACCCCCTCCCCCCACTCCTTATACTTCAAAAACACCCCTTATCCCCTCCCTCTTTCACCCCCCCCCCCCGCGACTATATCTATTGCGGTCTCTTTGTTACGATAACATTATGTCTGTCCGATGATAGACTGTCAGCGGATCGATCCACTGGCCGACGTGATGTACGATAACCTATCTTTTTTGTTGTGTCTGTGGGGTGCTTATTGATGTTAGTCTTCGCGTCTAGTTTGTTCCGCGTGTTACTACATTCCGTTGTCTAGGTTCTTTCCTTTAATTTTATTTTTTTGTCTTTTTGACTGTCTGTTTAGTAACGTCGTTTTGTTATCATTATGTATTAGCGAATTTTTCGTTTTATTTTTATGGATGCTTATTTGTTTGCGTGGTTGTCTAGATGAGGCCAAAGGTTATATACACTGCTGTATGTGTGTGTATGCCGTCTATTATATGCGTTGTGTGTGTGTTGGCGTTTACTTGTGGGTGATTTTATTGTTGTTACATGTAATATATAATTTTTTTATTTTTTTGTTTATTGAACGATTAGCGTTTGACGTACCTACCCCTGTAAGATAATTAATTTCCCTTACATTATATTAATGAACCTATTCCGTCCATTATATAACACCTTTTACACACACCCTCCCTCCCTCATCGCCCCTCCCCCATCTCCCCTACCCAGCAGCTAACTCCTCACCCACTCCCCACCTTGCCTTTCACCTTCCCCTTCCCTTTCCCACTTCACCCATGTCCTCCTCTCTTCTCTCTCTCCTCCTCTCTCTCTCTCTCTCTCTCTCTTCTCTTCTCTCTCTCTGCTCTCTCTCTCTCTCTCTCTCTCCTCTCTCTCTCTCTCTCTCTCTCTCTCTCTCTCTCTTCTTGCTCCCCCCTCTCCTCTTTCTCTCTCTCTCTCTCTCTCTCTCTCTCTCTCTCTCTCTCTCTCTCTCTCTCTCTCTCTCTCTCTCTCTTCTCTCTCTCTCTCTCTCTCTCTCTCTCTCTTTCTCTCTCTCTCTCCCTTCCTTCCTTTCCCATCCTCCTTCATTTGTCCCTTCTCCTTGCGCCTTTTCTTTTTTCTTCCCTCTCCAACCTGCTCCTCACCCTTCCTCCCCCCCCAATTCTCCCCCCCCTTCTCACATCCACCCCTACCTTATCGCCTGAAACTGTCATGCAAAATCGCCCTTTCTTAACGTGAGGAGAAGACGACCTTGTGAGAAGGTCAATAAAGGATGGAGTGATTGATAGGGCAGGGGTTAGTGGGGGGGGTATATGACCTTTATGTACCTTAGTAGGAAGGAAGGAAGAACGGGAAAAAATAAAAAAGAGTGGAAAGAAGGAGAACTGGCAAAGAGAAAGAGGAATAGAGATACAAAGGAGACACAAAGGAAAGAGAAAATAATGAAGATATTAAAGAATTTCCAAAGTTTCGCTGAGAAAGGAAAATAGTCTAGAAAAAGATGTGGACGTATACACACACACATACACATGTACGTATTAAACATCTTATACACAAACGTCGTGTGTGTACCGAATAGTGTCGTGCATGTATACAAACATTTAGATATGGAAGTCAACGCACATACATATTCACATTATATACATATATATCGACAGAAAGAAGGGGAGAGAGAGAGAGAAAGTGAAGGAAATACCTATTAAAATAACGAAAAAAGATAAATTTCAGGAATAATGATGAATTTAAATTTTCTTCAAAGACAAAGGACAAACAGGGAATGAAAGCAACGGAAAATTTGCGGACAGAAAGGAAAACTAGAAAAGATGAATAAAAAAGATAATAACTTGACGTTAGCTGAGAATGAGCAAACTGCCTAACTAGAATGAAGACCGATCCAAGAAGAAAGGGGAAATTAAATAAGCAAAAAAAGAGCGACTGAGTATACGTTTGTGTGTGTGTGTGTACGTGTGTGGTGGGTTGTGTGTGTGTGCTTTGTGTGTGTGTGTGTGTGTGTGTGTGTGTGTGTGTGTGGTGTGTTGGTCTGAGTTGTTTACGAAGATTAATTATTGATAATTAAAACCACTCATCACGAAAGACAGACGACCTGTCATGCCTCGACATTTAGCGTAAAGCCAAAGCAGAGATTGTTTAGGATTATTTTCAACATCTTTTATCTTTCCTCTCTAATTATAACCTAGCGCTTGCTTAGGTTCTGCGGGGATTAGATAGTTTGTACAATCGGGTTATGATTCAATTAATGGTGATGTCTTTACATATACATCGTTTTTCTTTGAAATTGTAAATTGCAAAAAATAGTCCAGTTTGGGACCTACACGAAGTTCCTCTCTTACTCAAACACAGGAATTTAAAAGATGAAAAATAATGGATAATTAATGATATGGAATAAAATGAAAATATAATGAATGATTTAAGATCAAGCAAAAATGAATAGTAATAATGATTCATCAACGGTTTCTTTACACGTCATCAAAGGACACGCCGTTATCAACCGCCACGTCGTTTCAAATTAGCGCGGGAAATTCAAAGGGGGAATCGAGACCCACCGCCAGACATAATGTTGACTTTGTGATAGCGGTAGGGAGAGTTCTGGTTATGTTGTTGTTGTTGTTGATTTTTTTATTTGATGTTGTTATTTTTGTGTGATTATCGTCTTTTTGTTTGTGGTTGGTTGTTGTTTTATTGATGTTGCTGTCGTTGTTTTTCTTTTTGTTGTTTTTGGGGCGGGGCAACGTCGTTCGAAAGGAGACGGAATCAAGGTTGTTTATATATTGTCATAATTCAAGGCATTAGGAAGTATAGAAATATACCTAATTCATACCGAAAATCACAGAGACAGTCATAAGCGAAATCCAAAAGGCACCATCGATTATCAAGCAAAAAAGTTTAAAATACCTATCTATTATTGTCTTATTCTCTGATATGATTTTTTCCCCTTTTCACGATTACGTGATTCTAGTCTAGTAATTTTGTTTTTCTTTCTGCTTTCCATTGTCCTCTGATTCGTTGCATTGTGGGTAATTTCGGCCATTAGCGTTTTATGAGGCATTTTACTACGTCATAATGGGCAGGGGATGATATTCTAGAGATTCTAGGTATTTGCTTTTCAATTCTTCCCTTTCTTACCGCTTTCTGGTATATACTCTGACTTGACCTCTACTGGTAGGTATTGCTTCTAATGATTGAGATTTGGATTTTCTTTCGTATCTTGATCGAGTCAGTAAGTGGAAAAGAGACCTATCAGATATCTTTTCTTTTTTTCTCCTTCTTAGACTTGCGTAGGAGACCGATGTCAGACCAGAAGAGAGAGATCGAATGACTGCATCTCTCGAGAGAGATGAGCGTCTCTCTCTCCTCTCTCTCTCTCCTCTCTCTAGTCTCTCCCTCCTCTCTCTCTCTCTCTCTCTCTCTCTCTCTCTCTCTGATCTATCTATGCGGATATCTATCTATCTATCGATCTCCCTCCCGCGTCCCTCCCTGATTCTCCGACGAGTTGCCCTACGCCTACCCACTCGGATCTCTCTCGAACCCTCTCCGAGCTACCCTGAGCCTAGCATCCGACCGACAGTCAGGAACTCTCCCATGAGTCATCTCTCTCTCGAGTAGACTGCTCATCTCTCTCTCGTCTCTCGATGAAGCGTGACGATGACCGAGAATGAAGAGACTCGATGTACGAGATCTCTGCATCTGCTATCTCGTACTCGTCCTCGTCTACTCTCATCTGCATGACGAGTACTGTCGAGACCTGCATAGAGAGAGACCGTCAGTCTTCTCCCTCTAGCCAAACTAGACAACGGTGAGGCCTCTGACGGAGGGAGTCGAGAGACGACAGATGGAGGACGGAGACCAGAGAGAGAGAGAAGAGAAGTGAGACTGACGAGCTCCTCTCCGAGTCGACGCATCGAGCCTCGAGCCGAGCAGACCTCCCGACACCTCCCCTCGCACTCCCTCCCTCCCTCCCTCCCTCCCTTCCTCCCTCGTATCCTCCCCTCCCCTCCCTCCCTCCCTCCTCCCTCCCTCCCTCTTCCCTCCCTCCTCCCTCCTTCCCTCATCTCTCACTCCCCCTCCTAATCGCCCTCTCACCCTCTCTCTCTCTCTCCCCCAGGGATGGATTCCTCAGCCAGAACGAATTCGCTGCCCTCTGCCGCGCCCTCTTCAGGAACGACCGGGGGAAGCCTTACCCCGTGGAGTCCTCGATGCTGAACACCATCTTCACCATCTTCGATACCAATAAGGTAAGGGGAGGGGGTTAGAGGGGAGGGGGAGGGGGAGTTAGTGGGGATGGGGGATGTAATGGGGGGAGGGAGGGTGGGTGGGACGGGGTTGTTATGGGGGGAGGGAGAGGGAGAGGGAATGAGGGAGAGAGAAGGAGAGTAAGCAGAGGAGGAGTGAGGAGAGGAGGAGGGAGTACGCAGAGAGGAGGAGGAGTAAGCAAGAGAGGAGGGAGTGAGGAGAGAGGAGAGAGGGGAGGGTAATGGCGAGGTGGAGGGAGTGAGGAGAGAGGGAGGGAGATGGAGAGAGGAAGGAAGGGAAGGAGGGAGTGATGGAGAAGGGAGGGAAATAGAGAGGGGGAAGGATTGAAGGTCTAGAGTTCATGGAGAAGAGAAGGTAATAGAGAGAGGGAGTAGGAACAAGGAAGAGAGGAAGAAAGGATGGAAAAGAAAGAGAAAGAAGGAAAAGAGAGCAGGAGGAGAGAACGTCAGAAAAAGGAGAAAAGAGAGAGAGAGAGTCAAATATTTTCCCGATTGCTTTTTTCTTCCTAATTAGCATGTACCAACATTAGTACTTCCTTAACAGAGGCTTATCATTATCACTGTCGGCCTAATTATTACCAGGAAAAGTTTTAAAGAATACTGCACAATTTACGTGATTCACCCTTGACCGTTCCCTCAAAAATATCATGTAAGAAAGAAGAGAAAAATAACAATAAATAACAATATGACGTGTAAACAAGGACTCGTCTTAATAACACTGAACAAGACCACGAACAAGAACAGGTTCTCTGGAAGAGTAATAGATGTTTTTTTCTTTTCTTTTCTTTTTTTTGAAGATGGATGGGTGGATGGGAAGGTGTGACGTATGGTGTGGAGAAGGAGGTGGAAGTTTGTCGAAAAACAAAATGGAAGTGTATGTACGAATAGGTGTGTATGTGTGTATTCACTTGCATGTGGGTATATACATGCAAAAGTAAGGACGCATGCTCTCGCTCTCTCTCGCTCTCATTCTCTCTCTCTCTCTTTCTCATTCTCATTCTCATTCTCATTCTCATTCTCTCTCTCTCTCTCTCTCTCTCTCTCTCTCTCTCTCTCTCTCTCTCTCTCTCTCTCTCTCTCTCTCTCTCTCTCTCTCTCTCTCTCTCTCTCACACACACACACACACACACACAACACACACACACATCGAATGGCAGACAGACTCCATTTTTCTCTAGTAATTTTTATCCTCTTGCTGATCTGTTTTCAATCCATCATTTTTTCTATATTTTCTTTATTATTATTACTTAAATGAGAATTTGCATGCGGGGTGTGCATGATTCATCCGAGAAACGTCAATGCAGGAGGAGGGGGAAGAGGGGGTAGGAGGGGGAGGGAGGAGAAGGGAGGGAAGGGGGAGGAGAGGAAGAAGGGGAGGCGGAGGGGGAGGAGAGGAAGAAGGGGAGGGGAGGGGGGAGGAGAGAAGAAGGGAGGGGGAGAGGGAAGAAGAAGGGGAGGGAGGTGGGAGGAGAAGAAGGGAAGGGAGGGGAAGGAGAAGTAGAGAGGGGGAGGGGTGAGAAGAGGAGGGGAGGTGGGAAGAGAAGGGAGGGAAGGGACAGTGAGGAGAGCGAGGGAGGATGAGAGAGGGAGAGGGAGTGACGGAGGGGGGGGGGGCGTGTCTCTTACTGGAGGCGCAAACGAAGGATGAGAGAAAGAGGAGATAAGACAAGCCAGTTAATCTTGTACCACGTTCCTCCAAACACATTCTGTACAAGTCCATGCATATCTCTACTTCAGCTGTTTTTCTTTTTCTTCTTTTCTTCTTCTTCTTCTTCTTCTCTGTCTGTCTGTCTTTCTCTCTTTCTCTCAATCTCTCCCTTCCTCCCTCCCTCCCTTCCTCCTCTCTTCCCTCCCCTGTACCCCTCGTCCTCTCTACTTATTTTTCTATCTATCTGTCTGTCTGTCTGTCTGTCTCTCTCCTCTCTCTCTCTCTCTCTCTCTCTCTCTCTCTCTCTCTCTCTCTCTCTCTCTCTCTCTCTCTCTCTCTCTCTCTCTCTCTCTCTCTCTCTCTCTCTCTCTCTCTCTCTCTCTCTCTCTCTCTCTCTCCTCCTCTCTCTCTCTCTCTCTCTCCTCCCTCCCTCCCTCCCTCCCTCCCTCCCTCCTCCCTCCCTCCCTCCTCCCTCCCTCTCCCCCTCTTTCTCCCTCTCTCCCTTCTTTCTCCCTCCCTCCCTCTCCCTCTCCCTTTCCCTGCTCTCCTCTCCCTTTCCTCCTTCTCCCACTCCCACTCCCTCCTCTCCCTCTCCCTTCTCCCTCCCTCCCCTTCTCCTCTCTTTCTCCCTCTCCCTCTCCCTCTCCCTATATCTCTCTCAATTACGACACAAATGAGAGGTCAGTAACCAGAAGAAAAAAACT